GATTCTGCTTTCCCATTCCTACTAGGGTGGTAGGGTTCCATAGGATCCTTTTGATCTTATGATCTTCGAAAAACTTGCTTACCTTGCTGCCGATGAATTGGTTCCCATTGTCGCACATGATCTCGGCCGCCATTCTGAATCGGCATATGATATGATCCCAAATGAAGTCGATGACTTCTTTCTCCCTGACCTTTTCGTATGCCTGGGCTTCCATCCACTTAGAAAAATAGTGAGTCATAAACAATATAAATTGAGCCTAACTGGGTGCCCATAGAAGGGGGCAAACAATATCCATTTCCCACTTCATGAACGGCCATGGTGACAAAATCGAATGCAGCAGCTCCCCGGACTGATGAATCATTGGAGCGTGTCTTTAACATTCATCATATTTTCGTATGAACTCCTTTGCATCCTTCCATATCGATCCAGTAATAGCCGGCTCTGATAACTTTTCGAACCAATGATTCGGCGCCTGAATGATTTCCACAGGTGCCTTCGTGGATTTCCCTCAAAACGTACTTGGTGTCCTCTGGTCCTAGACATATCACGAGTGGGCCATCAAATGTCCTTTTGAATAGGGTTCCGTCTTCGGATAGGCTAAACCGGGCTGCCTTTGTACGTAGGACCTTTGATTCCTTTGCATCCGACGGTAGTTTTTCGGTCTTCAGGTATTCTATATATTTATTTCTCCAGTCCCAAGTTAGTCTCGTTGAGTTAATCTCATCACGATCTTCTTCCACTACCGATCTCATAAGTTGTAGACTACCCCCGAGTTGAACTCGTCGTCCTCGACCTATGACCCTAGGTTAGCGAGGGCATCAGCCTCACTATTTTGATCCCGAGGTAAGCGTTGTAAAGTCCATTCTTTGAATCGATGTAATGTTACATGCAATTTATCAAGGTACCGTTGCATTTGTTATTCTCTGACCTTGAACGTCCCATTAACTTGGTTTACCTCAAGGAGGGAGTCGCACTTAGCTTCAATTACCTATGTCCCCAAGCTTTTGGCTAGTTCGAGACCTGCAATCATGGCCTCATATTCGGCCTCATTGTTAGTCAATTTCACAGTCCAAATAGATTATCTAACTACATTGCCTGTTGGTGGCTTCAATACGATGCCAAATAATGACCCTTTTGCGTTCGAGGTGCCGTCCGTAAAAAGGGTCCAAATCCTCGAGGAGGTCCCTATGTTGATTAATAACTCTCTTTCGACCTCGGGTATTAGGGCCGACATAAAATATACAAAGTTTGCCAAAATTTGAGACTTAATGGAGGTTCGGGGTCGATATTCAATATCGTACCCACTGATTTCTATGACCCATTTGGCCAACCGGCCCGAGAGCTAGGGCTTATGCATAACATTCCTCAATGGGTAAGTAGACACGACACATATGGGGTGACACTGGAAGTATGGTTTTAGCTTTCTAGAGGCGCTTAGCAAAGCGAGCGCCAACTTTTCTAGGTGAGGATACCTAGTTTTGGCCTCACCTAGGGTCCTGCTAACATAGTAAATTAGAAATTGCGTACCTTGCTCTTCCCGGACCATGACTCCACTTACCGTTATCTCTGATACTGCCAAGTACAAGTATAGTTGTTCGTCTATCTTTGGCGTGTGGAGCAACGATGGGCTCGATAGATGCCGCTTGAGTTCCTCCAAGGCCCGTTGGCACTCCGGGGTCCATGAGAAGTTATTCTTCTTCTTCTATAGTATGAAAAACCGGTGGCTCTTGTCAGAGGACCTCGAGATGAATCGCCCAAGGGCAACTATGCGTCCGATTAATCTTCGCACGGCCTTCACGTTGTCCACAATCGTGATATCTTCGATGGCTTTGATCTTGTCAAGGTTGATCTTGATTCCCCGGTTGGATACCATGAATTCGAGGAATTTGCCTGACCCAACTCCAAACGCACATTTTTCCGGGTTCAGCTTCATATTGTATTTCTTCAATATGCTGAAGGTTTCGTGCAAATGTTTTAAATGGTCCTCTGCTCGCAGGTACTTAACCAACATATCATCAATATAAACCTCCATTGATTTCCCTATTTGTTCCTCGAACATCCGATTTACTAGGCATTTGGTAAGTGGCACCGGCATTTTTTAACCCGAATGGCATCACGTTATAGTAGTAGGTGCCGTATTTAGTGATGAAGGAGGTTTTTTCCTAGTCACCCGGGTCCATCCGTACTTGGTTGTACCCGGAATAGGCATCGAGAAAACTGAGAATCTCATGGCCGGCCGTGGCATCGATCATGCGATCGATGTTGGGCAAAGGGAAAGAGTCCTTGGGATATTTCTTATTCACATCCTTATAGTCTACACACATTCTTAATTTATTCCCCTTTTTAGGGACTACCACTACGTTCGCTAACCAATCTGAGTATTTAACCTCCCGAATGAAACCTATTTTAAGGAGTTAAGATACCTCGTCCTTGATAAAAGCATGTTTGATCTCGGACTAGGGTCTCCTATTTTCCTTCACCGGATGGGATTTCGGGTCCAGGCTTAGCTTATGAGTGGTTATCTCCGGCGGGATCTCTGTCATGTCAAGGTGGAACCAAGCGAAACAATCTATGTTAGCTATAAGAAACTGAATGAGTTTTTTCCTGAGCTCGGGATTTAACCCTGTGCCCAGGTATACCCTTCAATCGGGTAGGTTCTCGACCAATATAACCTATTCCAGCTCCTCGATCGCCGATTTAGTGGCGTCGGAATCATCGGGGGCTATAAAAGACCTGGGTACCCCGTAGTCATAATCATCGTCTTCATCAGTCCTCTGTTTCTCCGGATGGGTTGGAGCTGGTGTTGGTAATTGCTATTTAGTTTCTGGCTTTGTGACCGAACTTGGCCCCTTTGTCGTTGCAAGTGCGGATATCGGAATCTCCTCTTCGACCGCAAACATCTCATTTGCAGCTGGCTGTTCTCCGTAGATTTTTTTTAATTCCGCCTGGTGTCGGGAATTTTAACACTTGGTGCAGAGTTGAAGGTACTGCCCTCATGTTGTGGATCCATCGCCTTCAAAACAAAGCATTGTATCTCATGTCTCCTTCGATTACATAAAACTTAGCTTCCTATACGGTCCCGGCGGTGTTCACCGGCAATGTTATCTCACCCTTAATGGTTTCACATGCCATGTTGAATCCATTTAGAACTCTGACTGCAGGCACGATTTGATCTTGTAGACCGAGGTGTTTCACGACCCTCGATTGAATGATGCTGGCTGAGCTACCTGGATCAATTAACACACGTTTAACTCGAATTTTATTTACGAGTACAAATATTACCAGTGCATCATTGTGGGGCTGCACGATCCCTTCCGCGTCCTCGTCGTTGAAGGACAAGGTTCCTTCCAGTATGTAATCTCGAATTCGTTTCTCCCTCGTGATGGACACTTTGGTGTGTTTTAACATCGGCCCCTAAGGGACATCGACCCCACCAATGATCATGTTAATGACGTGTTGAGGTTATTCTTGTTCGGTCTATTTGTTAGAATCCATATTCCTGAAATAATTCTTGGCTCGGTCGCCCAGGAATTCTTGAAGATGCCCGTTGTTGAATAATCGAGCTACTTCCTCTCTTAACTGTCGACAATCCTCCGTTTTGTGGCCGTGAGTCTCATGATATTTACATATCTGGTTAGGATACCTTTGGGTTGGATCATATTGTATAGGTCGAGGCCATTTGGTATCTTTGATGCGTCCGATAGTTGATATAATGGTGGCAACATCGACATTAAAGTTGTATTTCGATAACCTCGATGCTTTCTTTAGGCCCGATGGGCCTATCAAAGCTGTTTTTTCTCATGAGTACCCGGTTGCTCTGACTCGATCACTTCTCCTTTCATTTCTTATAGAGTTCTGCCTGGACCCACTACTTCTTTGGTCTCCATTATACGGCTGGTACCGATCCCTGTTTGGTCTCGGTTCACGATCGATGTCCTTCTTGACTCTGTGGCATATGTGTAAGAGGTTACATGCTCATTTGAGTCGGTCGTTCCGTTATACTTAGCAATCTCGGGCATGCGAAATTTCTTAGGGATTGGATTCGGAGCCGTGCTCGGAGGAAAAGGTTATTGCACGAACTTCTTGGAATCTAGGCCTTTCAATATTGGTGGTGCTCCTCAGATCTAGTCTACCCTGGAATTGTAGGTTTCCACCTTTTTATCATTAGCTTCGATTTTCTTCTCCCCTGATTCTATCCGTTTTGTCAGCTCTTCGAGCATCTTTATGATATTGGGGTTAGCCCCTGATTAATGTTCATTTGACCTTTCTGCGACCGGTTCATCCCTGCGGGTGACTTCCTCGGGTGGATCGGGTTCAACCCTGCTCGGTGCACGGCTTTGGTTCTGTAACTGAGCTATCGCTGCATGTTGAGCCTGCAACATTTCGAAGATCACCCGTAAACTGATCCCGTCTCATCCAATGTTTTATGTGTTTTGAGTTGCCAATCGGGCTCTACCGCGAACGCTATTCTCGGGGTCGGTAGGCAAAGTTGCGTCGATAGCCACATGTGAATTAGCATCAATCGGGCCCGCGACAGGAATTCCGATTGGATCAACAGGCGGCACCTCATCATCGGGCGCTATGTTGTTATTTTCACCTTGATGGCCGAACTCGTTGTCCACATGTAGGGGTGTTGCTGATTGAGAGTTTGACATTTTGTGTTTTAACCTGAAATTAAAGACACTTCAAAGAACAAGCGTAAAATAGTGTGTGTTATGGAGATTTGTATCAAATAACCACTATTATCCTTAGCCCCCACGGTGGGCGCCAAACTGTTTACCCTCAAAATCGGATAACAATTGAATTTATAAGTGGTTTTAAGGATACATGATCTAACATGATACAAAACGATAAATCAGATTGCAATTGAAATAAGTAATGAAAAAGTAAATGCTAACCACACAAGTTGAACAGTCTTAGCCTTGGAAGGTTAGCCACCCTCGAGCCAAAAGTACTTTTTGATTGATATCAGAATAGAACAACAAGAGAATAATAAGAACTTAAAGAGAATAATAATATATTGCTTTGGGATACGTGTTACAATGTGTTGAATGAATTATCAGACCCCATTTTTATAGTAGATGAGTTATACTCTAGGTACATTTCCATAAAAGGTAAAGATCTCTTGATTCGCTGATTGCCAGCTCCTTACTGATATGTGCCGAGGTTCCCGTTGCAATATCCGACCGGTCACGGATATTTCGGTCTTCTGTTAGTTATCTCAACAATGTTTCTCCGAGCTCGTTTGAGGCTAAGGTTGACACCGGACTCACTGTTCCTCGAAAGCAGGCATTCCGACCCCGGGTTTTAGCTCGGAGGAACTCGAGGTCGATCTTCAGTCCTTGATTGCTACGTTCCAAGCCTAATCTACCAAGTTGTAGGCGAGCTCGATTTTGACCGTATACGTGATTCTAATAAAAGTTAAGTGAAGTATAGCTGACTTCTTCCATAATTGCACACAACACACCAAAAGAAAAACAAGTTTCCACGGACAATGTTATGCATTGAATAATAATATAACTATACCTCAATTGGAAACAAGTTGAAATACAATATTATGTTTGAAATCGAACAATGGTTCGAAATATTTTAAGTACAAAAAAGAAAGAACTTCACTTCATTAACATTTAAAAAATTTAAGCTAGTTTTGGCATCATCCAGAAAGAGGAATATCCTGGCACAGAACTGACACAAAAAATCCTGATTCCACAGTCAATGAAGAAAAAGATAAGTGTCTTGCACTTTTCATGCATATATAGTACCATTCAATTTCCAATTAAAGAAGTCCCTTTCATAGATGACAACAATATGAAGACATAACATGCCAATATAATAGTTACAAGAGTTAAAAAAGACATTACAATTTCATCAATTGTCCTTATCCTCCTTAATTCAAATACATCTAGGCTCGCGTAACCTCAATACAACATTCTTTCTACGCCGAATACATCGACAGTCCTTAAACTTGTCAGTGTATTTCATTTAGATGTAAAAGGGGACATATAGAATCCTATAATCTAACCTTAAAAAACACAAAAGATAAAATTAAAAAATCGTAAGCATAAAAATACAACAAAGGTCTATTAAACCGAGTCAATATCATCCAAATCTGTCAACAATCCATCAACAAAAGATTCATTTAATTTAACGTTAATGATGCCATGTTGGATGAAAATGACACGAAAGACCACCTTATAAAACGTACCGAAAATTATTTATACCACCGGTTAAGAGACAGTTAGGCCAAGAAAATCAGTTGCAGATTTTCCAAGAATATTAGCAAACTCATTGAAACTTATTACACCATCTCCATTCGTATCAGCTTCTTGCATGAGATTCGACAATTCTCGGTACGTTAAAGGATGACCCATTTTGGCCATTTGTCCGGCGAGTTCAGCGGCGGTAATGTATCCGTTACCGTCGCGATCGAACGACCGGAAAAGTTCCATGAGCTGATCTTGATTCATTAAAATGTCTTCATTCATATCAGGCATTATGGCATTTACGAGTTCGTCGAATTCGATGGATCCGTTGCCATTGTGGTCTATTTTGGCGAGTAATGCGTGGAGTTGATCGCCGCTGGGTTTGAGGCCGAGAGAGCGGAGAAGGGCGGCGAGTTCTAGTTGTGTTAGGCTGCCGTCGCCGTCGAGGTCGAAACGCATGAATATGTCTTTTAGCTGTTTGAGTTGATCAGATTTTAGAGTAGTCATCATTATGAAAAGGAGGAAGAAGAAAAAGAAGGAATGAAATGGTGGAAGTTTTTGGTTATGGAGATTGTTTTGGGGTGGGGGGTAGAATCGGTGGAGGAAAGAGAAAGGAGAAACGGTAAAAGGAAACGGAGGAAAACAAGAATTAGTGAAGGAAAGAGAAATGAAGGATTGAGGGTGAGGGGGAGGGGGAGTACGGGGATGGGTTACAGGAATTGTAGGATATTTCAACTTTCAATTTAGAGGTTAGTGTTCTCTAATAGTATTATTATCATAGCAAGATATCAAAACAAAATTTTTATATTTAACCAAGAATTAGTATATTTACCCCTTATACTAGTTTGAAGTGATAAACTTCGGCTGTTTTTTCAACTAGACACCTAAACTTTATAAGGGTCCTATTATCCCTTATACTAGTTTGAAGTGATAACTATTTCCGACCAACGTTGGTCGGTCAAAAATAGCGACCAAAAACCATTCAGGTTGGACGGAAACTGGGGAAATTTTTTTTTACATTTTTTAAACCTAAATACCGACCAACGTTGGTCGGTAAATTGGTCAACGAATTGACCCAGCTTGTCAGACAAAAAAATTTTGGATTACCGACCAACGTTGGTCGGTAATCTGGATCTAATTTTTTAAATTTTAATA